TGTGTGTGCGTAATACATGTGCGTGTGTGTGTGTACTTATTACATGTACGTGCGTGTGTGTGTAGCGCGGTCGCGTGAATGGGCGGACGTGTGTGTGTGACGCCCGGGACTTCAGTGTAATTATGCAGTAGTGTGTGTTTTTGTGTGCGTACGTATGTGTGTATGTGTGTGTGTATGGGTGTGTGTGTGAGAGAGTATAGGTGTGTTGTGTGTGTATGGTTGTTTGTAGTTTGTGTATATTTGTATGTATGTGTGTGTGTGTACGTGTGTGTGTATGGGTATGTGTGTGGGAGAGTATAGGTGTGTGTGTGTGTATGGTTGTGTGTGAGTTTTGTGTATATTTGTATGTATGTGTGTGTGTTTGTGTACGTGTGTGTGTGTGTGTTGTGTGTGTGTGTGTGTATGTGTGTGTGTATTAGTATATACGTATATACGTATATATGTATGCAGATTATGTATACATTTATGAATGTATAAAATCATATATGTCTGTATGCATGTATGTATGTATTTACGTTGTAGATATATGTATGTATGTATTTACTCTGTAGGTACATGTATGTATGTATTTATCATATGTGTTCTGTACACATGTGTGTGTATATTTTTTCCAACTAAAATCCAATTCCATTTATTTCTTTTAATTAACTCCTTTGAACTATTTCAGCCATTTACTGATGACCTAAATATAAAGACCCATTTGTTTGTTTGTTTGTGCGTGATATTTTTTTTTTTTTATTGTGATTATTACTGCGGTGTGTGCGTATGTGCGTGTGATTGCCTGTGTGCGTTTATGCGTTGAGTAATTTGCTTTTATGGTATTGCTTGTGAAACTACTTTCTCTGTCTGTCTGTATGTATGTATGTCTGTCTGTCTCTCTCTCTCTCTTCTCTCTCTCTCTCTCTCCTCTCTCTCTCTCTCTTCTCTCTCTTCTCTCTCTCTCTCTCTCTCTCTCTCTCTCTCTCTCTCTCTCTCTCTCTCTCTCTCGCTCGCTCTCTTTATCTCTCTTTCTCTACTCTCTCTCTCTCTCTCTCCCTTCTCTCTCTCTCTCTCACTCACTCTCTCTCTCTCTCTCTCTCTCTCTCTCTCTCTCTCTCTCTCTCTCTCTCTCTCTCTCTCTCTCTCTCTCTCTCTCTCTCTCTCTCTCTCTCTCTATCTATCTATCTCTCGCACTTCCCCCCCTATCTCTTTTCCTCCCTCACACACACACAAAATAGCTATGTAACATTCCTACACACTCTTCCCCACAAACACAAACACACATAACACGCACACGGACACAAATGGCCATTATCACGCTCGTTCTCTCTCTCTCTCTCTCTCTCTCTTCTGTCTTCTGTCTCTCTCCTTCTCTCTCTCTCTCTCTCTCCTGTCTGTCTGTCTAATCTATCTATCTATCTATCTTATCTATCTCTCTATCTCTTCCCTCCTTCCCCCTTCTCCTCCCCCCCGCCCTCTCCCTCTCCTCCTCTCCATCCTCCTCCCTCCCTCTCCCTCACTCCCTCTCTTTTCCCTCCTCTCTCCCTCCCTTCCTCTCCATCCTCCTCCATGCTATTCTCTCCCTCTCCCTCCCTCCCTCATGATGTAGGTTTTACGCCTCTCTCTGTCTATCTCTCTCTCTCTTCTCTTCGCTTCTCTTTCTCTCTTTCTCTTCTCCCTCTCCCTCCTCCACCCTCCCTCCCTCCCTTCTGTCTTCCCTCCCTTCCTCTCCATCCTCCCCCTCCCTCTCCCTCACCCTCTCCCTCCCTCCCTCCCTCCCTCTCTCCTCCTCCCTCCCTCCCCTCCTCCCTCCTCCTCCCCTCCCTCCCTCCCTCTCCCTCCCTCCTCTCCTCCCTTCTCCCTCCTCTTCCCTCTCCTCCCTCCCTCTCCTCCTTCCTTCTCCCTCCTCGTCCTCCTCTCCCTTCTTCCTCCCCTCCCTCCCTTCTCCCTTCTCCTCCCTTCCTCTCCCTCCTCCCTCCCTCCCTCTCAACTCGTGTCCACATGACGTAGGTTTTACGCCTCGCTCGCATGACGAAAGGATAAAAAAAAAACGAAATTTTCCCTTTTTCTCTCTCTTTTTTTTCAAATCGTAGAAAACTCACTCAAGGGATGGCTTTAGGGACACGCTGGTGACACGCAGGGGGCTTAATGTACTGGCTTATGTATAGTGGTTTTGCGTGGCTGATCTGAGGCGCTTATCTGCATATCTCAGCGTGTGTGTTCTGGGCAGGGTAGAAGGCTATGGTCAGTGTGTGTTGTACTGTATCTAGATTTTCATATGCTTGTGTACATTTTTGTCTCTCGTTCTGTTTGTTTATCTGTCTACTTATCTATTTATATATCTATTCATTTATCTAACTACCTATCTATCTATCTATCTATTCATTTATCTATCTACCTATCTATCTATTTATCTATTCATTTATCTATCTACCTATCTATCTATCTATCTATTCATTTATCTATCCACTATATCTATCTATCTATTATCTATCTAATCTATCTATCTATCTATATTTCTCTATCTGTTTATTCATTTATCTACCTACCTATCTATCTATCTGTCTCTATATATATAACTACTTTATTCATCTATCTATCTCTTTCTCTATCTATCTATCTATCTTTCTGTCTATTTATCTATCTATTTCCCTATCTATCTATCTTCAAATTACCGTAATTAAGAGGACTTCCTGAAGGACTGGTAAGTAAACACTTATTTCCTAGAATCAGTTATTAAGGAAAATCGATTCCCTTAGATGTCGAATAAACATACACACACACACACACACACCACACCACACACACACACACACACACACACACACACACACACACACACACACACACACACACACACACACACACACACACACACACACACACACACACACACACACACACACACACACACACACATACGCGCACACACAAACACACACACACAAATACACAACACATACATCACATATAAATATACATATATGTGTGTGTGTGTGTGTGTTGTGTGTGCTGTGTGTGTGTGTGGTGTGTGTGTGTGTGTGTGTGTGCTGTGTGTGTGTTGTGTGTGTGTGGTGTGTGTGTGTGTGTTGTGTGTGTGTGTGTGTGTGTGTGTGTGTGTGTGTGTAAACATGTATCCAACGCGTGTCTAACACACCCATACCTGCGGCCCCCTATGCTGCTCCAGGATTCACCTAACCTTTTGTCTTCCAAGAATATCACATATATTCTTAATCTTCTGGATAATTCTTTGCGTAAACCATTCTTAAACTATAAACAAATATTTTTTATATTCACTATTTATCATTATTTATAGGGTATTTTTATATCTAACCCTCTACATAATATGAATTTAACACACCTTAAACTCCATAAACGATTATATAGAATCATGCATATTAGCATATATATACCCCAAGTGACATGCGGGTCAAATTCATGCAAATTAGCACATGCACGTGAGTCTAAGTGCCTGTTTACGCGGGTTCATGACCTTTCAGATGAATCATTATGCAATTTTCACTTAAATGTGATTTTCTTTATTCATGATCGTTATTTTTGCTACGGAAAAATTACCGAGATTATTGCATGAATATTGCATGAATATTGCATGATCTTTTTTTCTTCTTGTTCCATTTTTCGATTATTTATTTTTTCTCTCTTTTTTGCAGTGAAAAGTTTGAGAAACAAAAAAAAAAAGAGGAAATGAAAATCGAAGGTAAAAGTTTTCTGAAAGAAAAAGAAAATCTATATCTATTCAGCTGTTTGTTTCTTTGTGTTTATCTGTCTGCTTGTCTGTCTCTCTCACTCCAATTCTCTCACCACTTTCTCTCTCTCTTAATATCTATCTAGCTGTCTGTCTCTCCTTTTCTATTTCTCTCTTTCTATCTGTCTAGCTGTCTCTCTCTCTCTCCTTTTCTATCTGTCTGTTTGTCTCTGCCTCTCTCTTTCTCTCTGTCTCTTCTCTGTCTATCTACCTGTCTCTCTCTCTCTCTCTCTCTCTCTCTCTCTCTCTCTCTCTCTCTCTCTCTCTCTCTCTCTCTCTCTCTCTCTCTCTCTCTCTCTCTCTCTCTTCCACTCTCTCTATCTATCCATCTAGCTAGCTGTCGGTTTGTTTCTCTCTCCTTTTTATCTGTCTCTCTCTCTCTCTCCTTTTCTCTCTCTTTCTCCTTTTCTCTCTCTCCCCCTCCCCCCCTCTCTCTCTCTCTCTCTCTCTCTCTCTCTCTCTCTCTCTCTCTCTCTCTCTCTCTCTCTCCTCTCTCTCTCTCTCTCTCTCTCTCTCTCTCTCTCTCTTCTCTCTCTCCCTCCCTCCCCTCCCTCTTTCTCTTCTCTCTCTCCCTCTCCCTCCCTCTCTCTCCCTCTCTCTCCTCTCTCTCTCCCTCTCTCCTGAACCCATGTAATATGCCTCAAACGAATAACCGATCCCAGAAAATAACAAATGACTACGAGACACGATCTAATGTCATGCACACCCAACGCTACGCACGTACTCATATCTCTGCATGACTGCCAGGCACGATCAGAGGCCACGTACATCTACTGCCATGCAAAGAGTACTCACATCTCTGCATGACCACGAGAAGATATCAAACGAAGTCCACATCCTCCAACAAAAGCAAAATGTATTCGTAACAATGCATGACCACGAGAAGAAGATTAGATGTCATGCACAGACCGCAGCAAGGAATACTCATAACACTGCATGCGCATAAGCAAAGACGAAACATCAAGATCCATACACAGACGACAAACAAAGCCCCCCCAAAAAAACACAGAAGCACAAACAAAGCCCCTCAAAAACGCACAAATTACAAACAAACAAAACCAAAACCCACACAACAAACCACAAAACAAAACCCACAAAACCACAAACAAGCCACAAACAAAAGCCCCAAACCCCCAAACCACGCACAACCCCCCAAACCCCCCCAAACCACGCACAACCCCCCAAAACCCTCCCCAACCCCCCCAAACCCCCCTATACCCCCAAAAACCCCCAACCCCCCCAAAACCATACTCAC